GGTGACCCACTGAGAGGGGAGCGAGCTCACCCTCCTGGTGCACCAGTGAACTCTCCGCTTGAGTTTCAGTGATGCTGCGTACACCTGTTTATACTCAGGTGACCCAAGTTACTGATAAAATCAGGTGTAGGAGATGTTTGCTGGGATTTGGTGTGGTCGCTGGTATGCTGATATAGGGTGTCTTCTTTCTTGGCTCATGGGGATCTCAGGTGGCTGCCCTTGCCCACCAGTCAGTGTCTGCCCCAGGGAAGTTTCCAATGGCCTCTCTCAGCTGCCCATCCGTCCTCCATCAGGTGGATCCTTCTTAAGTAATCTCCTTGTGCCTTTCCTCTAATTCTGCTTTTCTGTGTTTGGTGCACTCTGATCCCGTTAGCTGTTCAGAGCACCAAAATCCCTAATTCAAACTGCTGTACCAAGTTTTTCAAGCACTTAGATGCTAGAGGGAAATAGTGTGGTGCTTACTGACAAGACTCCATTTTGAATCCCTGTACCTTGTTGAGTAATTGAAAATTTATTACATTTCCCTTTTTAGTTATGTATTTTTTTTTTATTGCCATCAAGTTGACTCTGACTCATGGCGACTCCTGGTGTATCAAAGTAGAACTGCTCCACAGGGTTTTCAGTGGCTGAGTTTTTCAAAAGTAGATACCCAAGTCTTTCTTCTGAGGTACCTCAGTGTAGACTCAAACCTCCAACCTTTCAGTTAGCAGCCAAACACATTAATCATTTAATGCATCATGCGGGCTCTCAAAGTATAAGAAACTCAAGTTCAAAATGACTTGTTAAGTGACATTTTTCTGAAATTTACAAGAATGCTGCCTTCTCAGCAAGGTCTCACCTGGTCTTTCTATTTAAAATTGTACATATACACACACCATCTTTCTATCACAGTTTCATTTGATTCTAATAAATGTTTTCATCATCAAATATTTAACTTATTTACATTATTTAATATTTTTCTGCTTGCACTAAAATTAGAGCCCTGAAGAGATTCCACAAAAAGGACAAAGCAGCTGAAAACACTTACTAGGCTTTGCCTTAATTTTTGTCCATCCTGATTCCTTCAAAAGTTGGAACTAGAAATACCATTTGACCCAGTTATTCCATTACTAGGTATATATCCTAAAGAAGTGAAAGCCATGACAAGAACAGACATATGCATACCCATGTTCATCGCAGTACTATTTACAATAGCAAAAGATGGAAACAACCTAGGTGTCCTTCAACTGAGGAATGGATAAACAAATTATGGTACATACACACAATAGAATACTATGCAATGATAAA